CACATTAAATCTTCCATATGTCTTGAAAATTTCACTTGTCATATGTCCATTGCATTGCATTTTCCATCTCATGCGTTGCAAAATATATTTTCATGTTCATCTGATGTGGCATTCTCCATTTTGTTCATTTTAAATTTCAATTTCATCTCATGTTTCACAAAAAATTGCAAAAAAATGAAATTCCACTCATGTTCATTACATTACATGTTCCATCTCATATAAAAATTGCACAAAAAAATCTCATTCACATGCATTTCATGTTGCATTTTCTATCTCAAATTTTCCTTCCAAGCATTATTATCTCCATCTCATGATTCTCATATTTCATAAAAGTTGCATAAAAAAAATTAAAAATGGTGAAAAATGAAAAAAATGAAAATTTTATTCATAGTGCTAGTTTTCCTCTCATATTTCTTTATCTCATCCTTTTCACATTTTGCAAACAAAAAAAAAGGGGGGGCATGAAAATGAAAATTTCTTCCATGTTCATTTCGCATTCCCTTTTTCATCACATAATTCATTTCAACTATCACTATTTCCATTTCATAGTTCAAAAACAAGTGCAGAAAAATGAAAATGGAAATTTCATTCACATGCATTTTGCACTGCAATTTCACATTTTTAAAAAAAAAAAAGAAAAAAGAAAAAAAGAGGTTCTTTCAAGATAAATTCATGAAAAATCCATCTTTTAGACATCAAAATAATTTGAGCACATGATTTTGGAGCATCACATCATCATTTTCTCCAAGCATCACACCATTCACTTTTTCTTCAAGCTTCATGGCATTTGCTTTCTTTTCAAATGATATTTCCCATGAATGCCAATTTAGTGTTTGTAATAGTGAATCACCAGCTGCTCCTTTGAAATTTGCATACTTGAAGAAAATTCATGTTTTAGGATACAATTTCACACACATTACCACTTGTCAACATATTTATATTCTTGCATCCTTTATCACTCATTTCTCATCCATGTTTATTTCTTTTCTTGCATTCCCAAAAATGCATGCTTTAGGATACAACTTCACACACATTATCACTTTAGAGCATATTCATGTTCCTTCATCCTTTATCCATTGTTTGGCATCCATGTTTATTTCTTTTCTTGCACTCCCATAATCTTGTTTGATTCTCTACCTTCAACAATTGAAATATGGGTTCATACATGGTCAAGCACGATTCTTTGTCAATCAAGACACCTTTTGAAATATTCATCCATGGAGAAAGTTTTGACCAATAGAGGATTGAAGAGATCTCCAATTACAAGCATTTCTTTCCCATCATTCACAATTGCCAAATCCGGGGGGCAAACTTAGAAGGACAAGAACCAATAGCAGCCTTGAAGATCAAAAGTTCAAGCACATCGCACTTTATATGGCTCTAGCAATCAAGGGATTCATCAAGGAAAGGGATGCAACTACTCATTGAACAATTGTACTTTTGAAAGATCTAGGAATCAGATTTTGCTAGGAACTTGAATGCTACCATGTTGATGTACTTAGTGTGATGAACTAGGCTTTTACTTTGTAATGAATGACCACCTTTGTAATGCATGTTGAATTGCTTGTAAGTGTCTTTTCTATAGCCCTTGGAGTCTATGGAAATCTCAAGGCATTCAAAGATATTTTGCTTCATCAGAGGCTCCTTAGGGATTGGAAATTGACAATGTGTGAATCCATATAGCAGTTGTCGAAGCATTAAATCATGCAAAATTATGGGATGATTCCTAACACTATTCTGACTTTGTTTATTTTTCTTTTATTTTTTGTTTGTAGGTAGACTACTTCAAGAAGAAAGAAGAAAACAAAAAATCAGGCATGATAGTCTCCCTCTGTTTTCTCACTATTTGGAGCAATGCATCATCCATCTAAAAGGCAACCTTCAACATGCTCTTATAAGCTCACCAAGATATGATGTTGAAGTGGACTTACACATGAAACATGTGGATCTAGATTCAATGAATGAGGGGGCAAATCTAGGACATGGGGAAATTTGAGTATTATTGCTCCTAGGGATGAACCCCTATTTGACATGATCATTACTTCTACCTTGGGGGCACTTTGACCAATTGGACAGTCAAGCTTTTCTTTGCTTCATTCATCCATGAGTGGGATGAGTCAGCTTTCTAATAGCTCAGCTTGTGGCTACATGAAAGGAGGGAATAACAAGCT